ATCAAGGTTGCAAGATTCGTACTTCTTCGTGGACCCGACGCAATCTGATGGGCTGCAGGGGGGGGGGGGGGGGGGGGTATTCATTATCAGTCATGTAATTAAAGCAATTTATGAAAAGATCATATATCAAATAACCAATTAATTAATTTCTTAATCATTTATTAGTCATTTCTTAATTGAATATTAATAACTACCTGAATGAATATTAACCCATTGCCGCCGGGGAAAATGAACAAAAAATGGGGAAAATGGTGTGCCTATTTTCTATACTTTTTTGTTAAATGTCTGCCCATAGATGGCTCTATTAGCGCCTGATTTGAAACACGTATTTTTCACTAGTGCCATGAATATCGATGGTGTTATCTTTATCATGAAACATTGTAATTTTTATAATGCTTTTTAACATTAGTAACAGCAAAATAAGATAATAATATTTCGTAAATCAAAGAAAAGGGTGAACGGGCGAGACGGGCGGTACTCGTAACTGGCTCATTGGTAATTCAGTGCAAGTGTAGCCATCTATGTGTAAAAACAATCTAACAAGTAATCTCACAGTGGGCATGGCATGGCATACCCGGCGGGAATGGGTTAATAACTTCATTAATCATTAATAACTTCTTGATTGAATATTAATAACTACCTGATTGAATATTAATAACTACCTGAATGAATATTAATAACTTCCTGAATGAATATTAATAACTACCTGAATGAATTTAATAACTACCTGAATGAATATTAATAACTACCTGAATGAATATTAACAACTTCATTAATCATTAATAACTTCATTAATCATTAATAATTACCTGATTGAATATTAATAAGTATCTGAATGAATATTAATGACTTCATTAATCAATAATAATTTCTTGATTGAATATTAATAACTTCCTGAATGAATATCAATAACTATCTGAATGAATATTAATGACTTCCTGATAACTTTCTGATTGATATTAATAACTTTTTTGATTAATTATTAACAGTTAATAATAAGAAACGTAAAGAGTAGATATTTACTCTTTAAATTTCAGTAAAAAAAAATATGAATTTCAAACTATTTTCTTTTCATTTTATTTTATCTGAAATTTATTCTTATTTCTCACTTCATTATCTTATACTTTGACCCTATCTTGACCTTACCTCAACTTGACCTGACCCTAGTTTGACCTCAGTTTGACCTGACCCTAGTCTAACCTGACCCTAGTTTGACCTCAGTTTGACCTGTCCCTAGTTTGACCTGACCCTAGTCTGACCTGACCCTAGTCTGACCTGACCCTAGTCTGACCTGACCCTAGTCTGACCTGACCCTAGTCTGACCTGACCCTAGTCTGACCTGACCCTAGTCTGACCTGACCCTAGTTTGACCTGTCTGACCTGCCCCTAGTCTGACCTGCCCCTAGTTTGACCTGCCCCTAGTCTGACCTGACCCTAGTCTGACCTGACCCTAGTTTGACCTGTCTGACCTGCCCCTAGTCTGACCTGACCCTAGTCTGACCTGCCCCTAGTCTGACCTGACCCTAGTCTGACCTGACCCTAGTCTGACCTGACCCTAGTCTGACCTGACCCTAGTCTGACCTGACCCTAGTCTGACCTGACCCTAGTCTGACCTGACCCTAGTCTGACCTGACCCCTAGTCTGACCTGACCCTAGTCTGACCTGACCCTAGTCTGACCTGACCCTAGTCTGACCTGACCCTAGTCTGACCTGTCCCTAGTTTGACCTGGGTTGACCCTGTCCCTAGTCTGACCTGTCCCTAGTTTGACCTGAACCTAGGTTGACCCTGACCCTAGTTTGACCTGACCCTAGTCTGACCTGTCCCTAGTTTGACCTGAACCTAGGTTGACCCTGACCCTAGTTTGACCTGACCCTAGTTTGACCTGACCCTAGTCTGACCTATCCCTAGTTTGACCTGTCTGACCTGTCCCTAGTTTGACCTGTCCCTAGTTTGATCTGACCCTAGTTTGATCTGACCCTAGTTTGATCTGACCCTAGTTTGATCTGACCCTAGTTTGATCTGACCCTAGTTTGATCTGACCCTAGTTTGATCTGACCCTAGTTTGATCTGACCCTAGTTTGATCTGACCCTAGTTTGATCTGACCCTAGTTTGATCTGACCCTAGTTTGATCTGACCCTAGTTTGATCTGACCCTAGTTTGATCTGACCCTAGTTTGATCTGACCCTAGTTTGATCTGACCCTAGTTTGATCTGACCCTAGTTTGATCTGACCCTAGTTTGATCTGACCCTAGTTTGATCTGACCCTAGTTTGATCTGACCCTAGTTTGATCTGTCCCTAGTTTGATCTGTCCCTAGTTTGACCTGTCCCTAGTTTGACCTGTCCCTAGTTTGACCTGTCCCTAGTTTGACCTGTCCCTAGTTTGACCTGTCCCTAGTTTGACCTGACCCTAGTTTGACCTGACCCTAGTCTGTCCTTGACCCTAGTCTGTCCTTGACCCTAGTCTGTCCTTGACCCTAGTCTGTCCTTGACCCTAGTCTGTCCTTGACCCTAGTCTGTCCTTGACCCTAGTCTGTCCTTGACCCTAGTCTGTCCTTGACCCTAGTCTGTCCTTGACCCTAGTCTGACCTGACCCTAGTCTGACCTGACCCTAGTCTGACCTGACCCTAGTCTGACCTGACCCTAGTCTGACCTGACCCTAGTCTGACCTGACCCTAGTCTGACCTGACCCTAGTTTGACCTGACCCTAGTTTGACCTGACCTCAGTTTGAGTTGACCCTAGTTAGCTTAGTATGACCTGACCCTAGTTCGACCTAACAAAAAAATAAATAAATAAATAAATAAGAATAATAATGATAAAATAAAACCTGACCCTAAAACTAAAACAAAAAAAAAACTTAAAACTATCAAAAAAACTCAAAAATCCTGACCTCTGACCCCGACACTGCCTAAGGGCCACCCTGACGCCGCCGCCGCAGGACCTGGAGCAGGAGGCCGGCGCCCCCCAGGGACCCCACGGCCCCTCTGAGATCTCGTTCTCCGTCGGGTCGTATCGTTCCCTCTTGCCCCGAAGCACCGCGCTCGACCATTCGTGCCACGCGGAGTCGTAACGGGGGGCGGGGCTTAGGGCGTTGTGGGTGGGGCTAAAGAGGTTATGGGAGGAGTTTGAAGGGTCGTGGGCGGAGTTTAAAGAGGAAGGGGCGGAGTTTGAGGAGGAGGAGGAAGGGGGGGCGGATTGGTGGGCGTGGTGATGGCGGACCCGATGGTGGTGTCTGTGGCGGGGGGAGTCCGCGGCCTGAAAGAGAGAGAGAGATAGATGTAATAGATAGATATGATGATAATAATGATAATAATGATAATAATGATAATAATGATAATGATAATGATGATGGTAATGATAATAATAGTAATAATAATAATAATAATAATAATAATAACAATAATAATAATAATGATGATAATGATGATGATAATGATGATGATGACAATGATGATGATAATGATAATCATGATGATGATGATAATAATAATAACAATAATAATGATGATAATATCAATAATAATAACAATAATAATAATAATAACAATAATAATAATAATAATGATAGCAATGATAATGATAATAATAATAATGGTAATAATAACAATAATAATAACAATAATAAAAACAATAATAATAATTACAATAATAATAATAATAATAATGATAGCAATGATAATGATAATAACAATGATGATGATGATAATAATAAATACAATAATAATAATAACAATGATAATGATGATAATATCAATAATAATAACAAAAATAATAATAATAATAATAATAACAATAATAATAACAATAATAATAATAGTAATAATAATAATAATGATAGTAATGATAATGATAATCATAATAATAATAATGGTTGTGGTGTGAGGATTTTCCGGATATGCTTGTAGCTTCAAATGAAACCAATAATATTTATCAATAGAGAAATACTTATCAATAGAGGAATACTGAATACTTATTACTTCATACTTATCAATATCAAGCCTATCAGTACTTATCAATACTTAATCAAGGCTATATTGTACAGTTTGCTCAAGAAGGACGTTCTGCCTGAGGTGTTTTGTTACTGGAATATGCCATCCAAAGTATATATAAGACAGGTATCTCCACTTCCCTTCGAAAATTGGTCACGCCGCCCCGCTACCCCATAACTCATTCGCGCCGGGTGTCACGTATACATGACATGTCCACTGTGAGTTTACTTGTTTAATTGTTTTCACACATAGATGGCTACATTTGTTGCGAGTACTGCCTGTCTCGCCCGTTTACCCTTTTCTTTAATTTACGAAAATATTTTAATTTATCTTATTTTTCTGTTACTAATATTTATAACCTTATAGTAATTATAATGTTTATAAAATAACCATCGATATTCATAGCACAGGTAAAAAATACATTTTCCCGCCAAATGAAATCAGGTAAGGCAGAGCCATCTATGTGTAGAGACATTTCACAAAAAGTATAAAAAATTGAAAATTTGCATAGATTTCCAAAGGTATATGAGGAGAGATTAATATGGATTGATTTTTGTGGAAAGCAAATAGTCAATTTGGAAAATGCAAGAGTTTGTTCTCTGGGTGCAAAAAATTGTGAAAACTTGCAAAGTATTCCTGGAGATTGCAGAGGAGAGAGAGAATATGAATTGATTTTTGTGGGAAGCAAATAGTCAACTTGCAACTTGCAAAATAGTTCCGAAGATTGCTGAGGAGAGACAGAATATAGCCTGATTTTTGTGGAAAGCAAATATTCAACTTAGAAAATGCTAGTTTGTACTCTGGGGGCAAAATATTGTGAAAACTTGCAAAGTATTTCTAAAGGTTGCAGAGGAGGAGAGAGAGAATATGAATTGATTTTTGTGGGAAGCAAAAAGTCAACTTAGAAAATGCAATGAGTTTTTTTTCTCAGCATTTTTAAAGATTCCGACTACTGTATCGTTTATTTCTGTAATGGATAGAAATGAATTAAAAAAAAAAAAAAAAAAAAAAAGTAAATATGTGCTGTATTATTTCATAGTAGATTTATGTATTTGATTCTTAAGAAGGAATAAATTTTTAATGTTTTTGAGTATTTAACCCATTCACGCCGGGTAAAAATGAACAAAAAATGGGGAAAAATGCTGTGTTCATTTTTTATACTTTTTGTGAAATTTCTGTACACTAGATGGCTCTGCCTTACCTGATTTCATTTGGCAGGAAAATGTATTTTTTTACTAGTGCTATGAATATCGATGGTTATTTCTATTATACACATTATTATTACTATAATGCTATGAACATTAGTAACAGCTAAATAAGATAATGAAAAATATTTTCGTAAATTAAAGAAAAGGGTAAACAGACGACACAGGCCGTACATGTACAAGTGTAGCCATCTATGAGTGAAAACAATTAAACAAGTAAACTCACAGTGGGCCCGTCACATATACGTGACACCCAGCGCGAATGGGTTAATATCCCTTAGATCGGTTTTGTTATTTGTTTATAATATTTGTAAAATATTATATTTGTTTTGTCCCCATGGCTTCCCCAACTAATAATAATGCTATATTAACAATGAACTACATTAATCTTATAGAATAGTAGCACGCTTACTAGATGAAATTTATGAGTCTATGCTAATTTTGTCGCCTTTCTCTCATATCCCATTTTCTATGGTCCAAAAACGACCCATAGATGCCCACTATGACGTAGCATCTGCGTGAGCTCAAAGTGGAGATACTTCGTTTATATATACCTTGCATGCCACAAGCAAGCAAGTTGTTGCATGAATGGAGGTAGGTAGTTGCATGGTTAGTATGACATAGAGGGTGACAATCAATGGTGTACATATAATCGTATTGTATGTACCCAGACATTAATATATCGCATATCTACAATAGTAATGATAATGATGATAATAATAACTATAAATCATCATCCTTATGTTCATCCCCCCCCCCCTATCTCTCTTTCTTTCTCTCTCTCTTTCTTTCTTTCTCTCTTTCTTTCTTTCTTTCTTTCTTTCTTTCTTTCTTTCTTTCTTTCTTTCTCTCTCTCTTTCTCTCTCTCTTTCTCTCTCTCTTTCTCTCTCTCTTTCTCTCTCTCTTTCTCTCTCTCTTCTCTCTCCTCTTTCTCTCA